AACGTGACGATCTCGTGACGCAAACCATCACACTTAGTGCGTCGTACGCGTTATGCGTTATACATTCGTTAAACAGACGTCGAATATTATTTTTCGAAAACATCAAACGTGAGTTGCAAGCATCAAAAATACGTCAAATGCGTCAAACTTACCTCGAACAGGCCAATATACATTCAAAACCTACAACAAACTGATAAATGACGTCACAAAACGAAATCATACGATGAAGAAAAATTGAAAGGCGATAGGAGCAGAATAAACAGGGTGTGTGAGAGAACGATTCATGATGAGTGGCGGATATATGACAAATGCTTACATCCTACCGACACTGAATTGCCTAATAGCTCAATATAAGATAGGTCGAAGAATTGATCGATGAGATTGGTGAGGATTGATATTATACCGCTCTCTGGACACATCCAATTTACGGAAGGTTAGACACATCCGATTCAGGATGGGTTAGACAGGTAGAACGTTCATACACTCACTTTCCTTGACTCTTTTGCAAACGTTGAAAATGTTTATGGAATTATCAAAAATGTGGGGGGGGGGGAAGACGTCAGTAGCGTGCATCGTGCTGCCATCTATGTGATACATATCCTCACTAACACATCAATTTGTTTGATTGACCAAAGAATGTCCTGAAGCCTCAGAGTCCCAAGAATTCGAACAGGATAGGTTAGAGAGTAGGCCGACATCATGGTTTGGGTTTGATGCTATATCGATCCGGACTATCCAAGCTACGATAGGTTAGATCTTTTTTTTTATAGTGACCCGTTTGAGATTATCAGACTCGCTAAACGTCAAAAACGTCACGTTTTTCACGCTTCTGACGAAGTCAAGAACCTCGTCAGACAGTCTACATATTTAGCCGTCATTGCTAACAAAACATCACCAACGTCAGAAGCGTCAAAAAACGTCGAAAAAACGTCGAAAACGTCGAAAAAACGTCAAAAAGCGTCGAAAAGCGTCGAAAAGCGTCAAAAAACGTCGAAAAGCGTCGAAAAACGTCGAAAAGCGTCAAAAAACGTCGAAAAGCGTCAAAAAACGTCGAAAAGCGTCAAAAAACGTCGAAAAGCGTCGAAAAACGTCGAAAAGCGTCAAAAAACGTCGAAAAGCGTCAAAAAACGTCGAAAAACGTCAACAAACGTCGAAAAACGTCGAAAAACGTCGAAAACGTCATCACGCATTCGACGAATGCATTCAACGTCCTATGAAAAAACATGTGTCAAAACATCACCAACGTCAGAAACGTCAAAAACGTCACGTTTTTCACGCTTCTGACAAATCAACGTTCAAATGGCGTGTCAAAACATCAAAGACGTACGTCAAACACATCAGATACGTCACGTTTTTCACGCAGCTATGATAGGTTAGACCTATTTTTGTTTGGTCGGTCTAGGAACACCCAAGCTACGATAGGTTAGACCCATAGACACATCCAAGCTACGATAGGTTAGACCTATTTTTGTTTGGCGGCGTGTTTGTATGTTTATCAGACGAGCGGAGCGAGTCTGATAATCACAATTGAGCCACCAAACAAAAATAGGTCTAACCTATCGTAGCTTGGATGTGTCTATGGGTCTAACCTATCGTAGCTTGGGTGTTCCTAGACCGACCAAACAAAAATAGGTCTAACCTATCATAGCTGCGTGAAAAAACGTGACGTATCTGATGTGTTTGACGTACGTCTTTGATGTTTTGACACGCCATTTGAACGTTGATTTGTCAGAAGCGTGAAAAACGTGACGTTTTTGACGTTTCTGACGTTGGTGATGTTTTGACACATGTTTTTTCATAGGACGTTGAATGCATTCGTCGAATGCGTGATGACGTTTTCGACGTTTTTCGACGTTTTTCGACGTTTGTTGACGTTTTTCGACGTTTTTTGACGCTTTTCGACGTTTTTTGACGCTTTTCGACGTTTTTCGACGCTTTTCGACGTTTTTTTGACGCTTTTCGACGTTTTTTGACGCTTTTCGACGGTTTTTTGACGCTTTTCGACGTTTTTCGACGCTTTTCGACGTTTTTTGACGCTTTTCGACGCTTTTCGACGCTTTTTGACGTTTTTCGACGTTTTCGACGTTTTTTCGACGTTTTTTGACGCTTCTGACGTTGGTGATGTTTTGTTAGCAATGACGGCTAAATATGTAGACTGTCTGACGAGGTTCTTGACTTCGTCAGAAGCGTGAAAAACGTGACGTTTTTGACGTTTAGCGAGTCTGATAATCTCAAACGGGTCACTATAAAAAAAAAGATCTAACCTATCGTAGCTTGGATAGTCCGGATCGATATAGCATCAAACCCAAACCATGATGTCGGCCTACTCTCTAACCTATCCTGTTCGAATTCTTGGGACTCTGAGGCTTCAGGACATTCTTTGGTCAATCAAACAAATTGATGTGTTAGTGAGGATATGTATCACATAGATGGCAGCACGATGCACGCTACTGACGTCTTCCCCCCCCCCCCCACATTTTTGATAATTCCATAAACATTTTCAACGTTTGCAAAAGAGTCAAGGAAAGTGAGTGTATGAACGTTCTACCTGTCTAACCCATCCTGAATCGGATGTGTCTAACCTTCCGTAAATTGGATGTGTCCAGAGAGCGGTATAATATCAATCCTCACCAATCTCATCGATCAATTCTTCGACCTATCTTATATTGAGCTATTAGGCAATTCAGTGTCGGTAGGATGTAAGCATTTGTCATATATCCGCCACTCATCATGAATCGTTCT